CAGCAGGCCAGTCTAAATGCAGCAAAGGAAGAAGACTGAGGCAAGCTATGAACCAAGAGATGAAGAAGTAACCTGGAAATACCAGGCTTTTAGGGATACGAGAACAGGATGCCACAGTTGAGCACCAAACAGAAGTGTAACAAAGGGCCAGCAGAACAAAGACAAGAGGTCCAGCAGGAGGTATGCAGCTGGGAAGTGAGGCACTAGTGAACTGAGAAGAAACCTGCCAGATGCTGGGTTGGAGCTCTGGAATCCTGTTCATGACGTCCCCCTGCAGTGGGGGCAGTGCCTGGGGGGCACAGGCACAGGCAGCTGGCACCCCCCTCATCATAATTCCTCTTCTTGGGCAGTGATTGCCCTTTCTTTGGGTTTCAGAATCTGGGGCTGGGAAGCAGACACCTGGGTTCCAGGCTAAGCCCCACCACTAACAATCTGTATGACTTCAAGAAGCTCATGCTCTCCCAGTTTTTTCATAAAAATGGGATTATTTACCAAGAGTACCCAACTCACAGAATGATATGAGGGTAAATCACAAAAGCCAAAGAAGCACTTCAAATCTATACTCTTGGGAATAGTGTAGCCCATGTAAGATCAGAGAAGTTCACAGAATTCTCTAGGATAATAATAATAGCAATAATAATAGCCCTTACATAGAACTTACTACATCTCTGGAACTTAAAATTTGTGATTGAGTAACTCTCACAACAACGTGTGGGGTGGCTACTATTTTTGTCCCAAATCTGCAGAGGAAACCGAAGCATGGAGATGTTAACTAACTTGTGCAGGGTTATGCAGTATAAGTGGCAGAGCTGGGGTACAAACCCAGAAAGTCTGGCTTCAGAGCCTGCTCTTGACCACGTTGTGATAGTACCTCTTGCCAAAGAACTAAAGTAGCTCATAACCCAAGAAACCATCCAGTAACTAGGGTCCAGTAAGATAGAGCATTGTATAGACATATTTAAGTAAAACCAAACTGGAAAATGCTAGATTTGCAGGGCAGACAAAATGGGAGGTACAGGGGGGTGATGAATGACCATTCTATATAGGCCAAAAAGCAAAAAATTAAAAGCAAACTTCACAAAAGAAATTAAGGCAGAACCCCACTTGATAGCAAGCTTCCTAACACATTTAAAATAAGATTCAATATATAAGAAGGAGTTGATACTTACATTTTTAGGTCAGTAGTTACCTGATTCTAGGTCTCACTTTACTACAAATTCGAAGGAAAATCTTGAGACGAGATACCAAGGTGTGTGTGTGAGAGATTATTACATGAATGAGTCATGTCTCTTTGTTCTCACACCTTGTACAGTTCCCTCTCACGTCTTTCTACATTTGGTTTCTACATGTGACTTGCTTTGGCCATGGAAAACCAACACACACGATGCAAACAGGGCTTGGAAAGTGTTTGTACATTGTGGTTTTGTTCTTGGAGCACCTCTGCCCTGTGGGGAGGCCTGCCCTAGCCTGTTGGAACATGTTGTTCGACCGACAACCAGCACCGACCTCCAGACACATAAGAGTGGCCATCTCAGACCTTTCCCACCCCAGCCAAGCCTCCAGGTAACTGTGGCGCATGAGCAATCCTTGGCGAGAGGAACAGAGAAACCATCCAGCTGAGCCCTGCCTGCAAAGCTGACATACAGAAGTGTAAACAAAGAAAATGTTTGTTTTGAGTCACTAACTTTTAGGGTAGCTTATTATGCAGCAAAATAACTGACAGGGCCCAAGTGCGGAACCTAGCAATTATTGGAGAGCCAGGGGTATTTTTACAAGTAGGAAGAAGAGTCGATTGGCTGGAAACATGGAGTCAGAAGTGTTAGGTTAAGAGGATGGCATGTAATATTACTGCTGCTTTTACCCGCCTTTCATTCTATGACTTCTGGGTGAAGCATGTAGGAAAGTAAGCTGATCTTCATGATTATACCAGTAGTTCAGGGAAGAAAGAGGACACCACATTGCACCTAAAGAAGCCAGACAACTAGTATCTTCTGTATCTACTGGTAACACAGGTCTCCACAATAGCGCAGGGATATAAGAGGCCGGCGGGACAGCTGCACAGGGAGTTAGGCCTCAGCACCTCCCGGGGCCATTTGCATTACTCCCTCAGCATCACTGCTGCAGATTGGAGAAGCTGAGGCACAGAACAGGAAAAGAGCTCACCCAAAGACAGTGAAAACCCCTCCATACTGTAAAGCCAAGAGGCTTGCTAATCCCTGGTGATAGCAACACTGAGAATAAAACCATCATCCAGTCCAACTGATTCCTTCAAAAATGAGAAAAATGTAGTAAAAGAAACCAGAGGCAGAGAATGGGAATGGAGGTGAGGGGAGGGCTGAGAAATGGGTGAACTGTTCTTTTGTTTTTGTTTAAATAAAATGGAAAATAAATAAATAAATAAATAAATAAATAAATAAATAAAAAATCTAGAATGGACTCCTATGCATTTTCAGCATCTTCTGTGCCAGTTTATGAAAATGGACCCTCTAAAATGGGATACAGTAATGCTTAGTAAGTACACATGAAGCGTGAATCTTACTTATTAGTGTAAACTAATTAGATTAATCAGGTAATCTGTTGATCATCAATATTTACTTAACATCTCTTAAATTGTCAGTGGTAATAAGGGAAACAATACTGCAACCTCTGTTTTAGACACAGGTATCCAACACAAATAATTTTCACTATTGATTATTACACAAATCAGTGGTTGATCAAAGAAACCAAACCACCCACTAGCTCATCTGCAGACTGGAAGTGCATGAAATGATGACCTCTCACACTTGGTGTGCTCTCCTTGAAGTTGTTTTGCTCAGTCTGGTGCTGAAACGAGCTTGCATTTCTTAGTACACACCAGTTAATGTGATGGAGAACCGGCCGGGATGTGTGCTAAGTGAGGAGAGGAATTGAGTTTGGGATTAGCATTTGCACAACATTTGCTGCATAGAGTCCCTGTAGCTTGATTTGTGGACTACCCAGGAAGGACTTCTCACTGCACCATTTCTTATATGCCTTCTTGACAATGCACGGGACAGAGGCAGCTGATTTTTCACCCACAGAGAAAGATGCTTTGCTCACATTATCATAGCACTTTGATTCTAATATGCATAAAGGTCTTCCATACATTCCTTTTCACTAGTTTTGCTAATAGGCAAGTGAAAGCTATGCCACACATACACACAAAAGAGCAATGAGAAACAGAAGCTCTTAGAAGATGACCTGTCCATGGCCACACAACCACACATGAGTAAGCTGACTCACAAACCCCAGCCCAAGGACTCCACAGTGAGGTGGGACACAGGATTCGAGCATCAGCACCCAACGAGGAATCATATCATCCGAACTAACAATCTTTCTTTCTTTACTGATTAAAAAAAATGTTGTCCAACTGATCACCTAAGAGCCAAGGAAGCCATAAGACACACTGACTATAATAATTTTCCTGACAATGACTAGAAAACTTGGTTGAACAAAGGACAGAAGAGGGAAAAAATTGAGCAATATTTCATTATGATAAAGACTGATATTCACATACACTCCTTCTTCTCCATTTAAGTGCCAATTAATAAATGGCTATAAGTAACATATTTTACTGAATAAAGAGAATATTAACTTATGACATGAAGTAGAAACAATGGCTCTAAATGATTTTGCAAATCATTCTGGAAGCTGACATACATATATGTTAAACTTAACATATGTATCTGGTTTTATTTCATACTCTAGGGAAAAATGCCCACATCCCTTTACTATTTCTAACTCACTGTGAACGTGAGCAAGTGATTAGACTGCTCCAGTCTCCAACGTTCCATCAGTAAAACAAGGCGACTGCACTTCAAGCCTGAAGTAAACCAGTGAAATGGGAAGAGCTTTGGAGACAGCCAAAGTGGAGATGAATCTGGGACCTAGCACCTTGTTGAATGTCTGACTGTGGGTCTATTCTGTTTTTCTCCATACCTCTATCCTGTCCTTCCTCATCTGGGTGAATGGAGAAACCACACCCTCCTCACAGCGTGTGTTAAGAATGAAAAACAGCACATTTAAAGTTACCCAGCACCGTGCTTGACCCGCAGGAGTGTTCAAGAAAGAACAGCTGATGATAATGGCTCACTCATTTATCCCACACATACTTATTATACCCAACTCCGTGCCAGGTCTTACTCTACACTTAAAAGACACAGGCGTTAACAAAACTGATCAACCTCCCTGCTTCAGCAAGCTCGCACTGTGCTGGCACAGAGATCCCTAACTGACACGGAGGAGCTATGTGCCTTATACTGTGTAAAAGCTCTGTGATTGCATTCGCAGCCTCACCATGGAATCCAGAGCGCTGAGTCCCTCTGAGCGTCCTCCCAGGCTGGCTAGAGGTCCTACCGGACTTAAGGAAAAGCTTTCACATTCTAGACTTGCTCTCCTAGGCCTCTCTCATCAGGCTAGTCTGCTGGCTACCAGGGAGGGCAGAGCTAGGCCTGGATTTCTCACTTATTTCCATCTTAGCCCCTGTCCCCGTCTCCTTCGCCAGGACTTTTCAGAGCCTGTTCGTAAGCCTGCAGCAGAGCCTTCCAGAAACCTCCATGAAGGCCGAGTCGGCTCAGCGGCATTTCACCCTACTTACCACCAGAGGTCGCCCTCCCACACAAGCCCAAGCAAACAGAGCTCAGCTTTGCCTTCTTGGCAGCAGTGACATTATTTTCTTTCTCTATTTTTATCTATTAAAAAGATTTCTTCACAGCCATAACTTAGATCTCTACACTAAAATGGAGCAACAGGAAGATATAATGGTGCATTTCATTTATGAATGACCTATAATAAATTACTCTGAAGTGTCCCGAGTGCCAGAAGACAGAACGCTTTGTCTGCCCATGGACTGTATTTCACATACTTTAATTTAGCTGACACATAAAACTCATTTGACATTTCGCAGGTATTTGTGTGGGGCGGGGGAGGGGACCACTGCGGGGCTGGGCGGGGAGTGGAGGCCGCCGCAGAGCCAAGGATATTTGGTTCTTGTTGAGGGTTAAGGTATGGAGCCTGGGTAACCCTGGCAACACGAGGTCATTCCCGAGCAGATTGTTGTCCAAGATGAGCTCCTCCAGGCTCCCGAACGCGCTCAGTCCTTCCAGTGACCTGCAATGACAAAGGCAACAGGAAAAATGATCTCGCACTGAATCAGGGAGGCCATTATGAGCCGAAATAAATATTTTAACCTTCTCTTTCAGGACTGGGAATAGTTTGGGCTTGGTGCCTGTCAGCACAGTGAATGACAAGAATTAGTAGCGGGAGCCGGGGGTGGGGGCGGCGGGGGAGAAGGGGCCGCTGGCACTCACCGCATCCTTCACGCATTGCCAACATGAAGGATGAGGGTCACTTAGTGAGTAGCCAGGATCCAAAACAAAGGGCTTCAGATACGGCCTGCAGGATAAATTTGTCAATGTCTTGTGCCTTCAGGCACCCAGCCTCGGCTGACCCTAACCTCCATTCCCAAGATAAATAACTCTGTCACAGTTCACCTTCATTCCCTGGACACAAATTTAAGTTGTCATCCATCATTCCTGCCCAGAAATATCATACCCCTCTTACAATAATAAATATAACTTCAAGTATCATTTCTTAGCTAGTCTCCTCTGCACAGTTGTAGGAAACAGCAAGGAAGGCTTCCTTTCTGCTCACCGCCATTGACTTGCCCCACCCCCCTGCATTTTTTCTTTACTAATCACTTAATTTGCTTCTGCCCAGCGTCCCTGTGGCTGCCCGCAAAGGCAAAAGGCATCTGCAGAAGCACAGAACCCCTCCAGGCTCAGAAGGCTGTGGCTTTTTCTTCCAGGATTTCTTTTTCTGTCTATTTGTTTTTGTTTTTGTTTGGGGTGGGAAGGGGAACGGTTGGGGGGATTCGTTTCAATGCTCCTAACTTGGAGTTACTGTTTTAAAAGTATGGAAAGTGAATTTCTCACTTTATTTTTGAAAGAAGGGGGAGTACAGAAACATAGAAGTCGAGGCAGTGAATGAACAGACATCTGAAAGAATTAACTACCTGGCTCAGGGAAGAGGTACTAAAAAAGGGAAAATAGACTGGTATACACTTAGCTGAAAGTTAAGACTTAATGTTAGGGGCTCAGGAGTTTGGAGGGTGGGGGAAATAGTGAGGGTTAGTGGCACACCTGTGCTCACCATGGTGCACACACGTTAATTAAAGAAAGTGCCTGGTGAAGGCACTTTCACAGACACACCTACTCTCAGCTTGTTCACCTGCCAGACACAAGAGTCGTGCTGAACGGGCACAAGCTGACAGCTGAGCAACAACCTCGACGAGAGGATGCACTGGCGTGGGATCTCCTGACTTTCCTGTAAAATGTACGAATCAGGGAGCTGTTGTCTAGACTATTTATTCATTTACCAGTAGCACTCACATTACAGACCTGCCTGCTTGCATGTGTAATAAATGCCTGCACAACTGGGGTGAGTGTGGACTTGAGCTCCAGAGCTTTCTCTAAGCATCTCAAAGCATATCTCCTTGTGGGACCTCTGCCAAGAAGACTCCAAAATAGGGAGTCAGTACTTGAGAGGCAGGACATGCACTGTGGATATGTTTAAGGCCCCAGAGGCTGGGGGGCCCACAGCTCTGCCAACATGTCCCACTCCTGCCCCACCCCAGAGTGGTCCCACCCAGGGCCCAGCACTCAGACCATGCCTACTCCCACAACCAAATCTGCCACATACATTTTGGGTTAAGGGTCAATGGGGGTCATCGCATTTCATTCCCTCCTCTTTTCTCTTCTTCCTCACATTCCAGGGAGGCAAAATACAGCTTGTATACACCTGTAGTCAGGCAGGTCTGGGATTTTACCTCAGCTTTGCCATTTACTTGCAGGGTGAGTTTGGAGGTAGGAGTAATCCATCTGAACTCCCTTGTTCTGTGTGGGTTCCAACTCTGAGAGAATAAGTGAGACAAGACCTAAGTCACTAGCAAACGCTGGTTTCTTTCATTTACTTCCTCCTCTCATTCATTGATGTTTCTGGAAGCCCTGACCATTGGTTGGGACAGCAGAGGGCTCAGGATGCAGAGGGCGAGCAGATAAACAAATGTGGAAAGGTGTGCAGTAAGTCTGGCTTCTGCAGGGAAACTCTGACTTCTGCCTAAGTCCCTTCTTCCATGGGGTTAATGAGTGACAATCCACAAATGTGCTTCAGGAGGAGCCCTTGTTTACCAGCAGGGTTGCTGGGGCCACCTCCCATCAGGGTGCCTTAAGGATGGCTAATAAGTCCTTTGTCCACAAACATCAGCTGCAGTCAGGTCAAAGGCAGCATCCAAACACACATTGTTCCTGAGTTACGTTATGCAAATATAATACTCTTATCATGAAGATCAGCAAATGGTTCCCAACTGGCAAGCAAAAGAAAGCTCCCATCCAGGAGTGCTTCAGGGGAGGCATAAAACAAAGTGACACAGCATGCAAAGGGACAAAGCCTGGGAACACTAGAGGGAGTGCCCACAGAGCCACCTTTCCCTGGGGCTGGCTTTGGGCAGAGCTCAATACCAGAGGGATTGGGAAGCTTAGGCTCAAATCCCTCATCACCTGTCCAGTTTTGAGATGTTTTGCCTTGTAATGTTATTAGCTGCTCAGCTAAAAGGGAGCCGTAGTATGTGGGGGATTGCTAATTAATAAGTTCCTGTCTTGTCATCAGTGTGGTGTGCAGTTGGTGACTTAATCAGCTGAATGCAGAGCTGAGGGCTAGCAGACAGGAGGCAGAAGGCACAGTGAAGGGTAGAACTGGAAAGGACAGGATTTCCCAGGCACGGCTGGCATGTGAGAGCCAGTAAACATACACCTGGGAGAGGGTTTTATTTTTTATTTAAAAAAATATTTACTTTTGTTATTATTGTTGCTGCTCTTTTCCTGGAAGGAGTAGGGGAAAGAAATTATTTGCATCAGTCTTTGAGTTCATATGTCTTTACGTAAGATGCTTGCAATTAGATACGTGCTGCTCAATAAAATGCCAAGGCAAAAAAAGACTTGAGGGATCCACAAAGATCTGTGCAGTTTAATGGAACAGCTACAGTAGCTACAAGGCAACGATGACGGAACTGTAATTGTTCTGCTATGACCTTGGGTATGGACAGCAAAATGCACCCCAGCCCCAAGAGCCCAAGCGGAGGGGTGACTGTCCTCCGGGGTTACTCGCCAGCTTGGTTGCCAGTGGTTGCGGTTGCCTGAGGGGTGGGCTGGGAAGGTGAGGCAGAGTTGTCTGCACGGTCAGGGGCTGGAGAGAGAGGGCAAGGCTTCCCTGGCTACCTCGGCACAGCTAGCTGGAGAGTCTTCCCAGCCCGGTAAAGAACCGCCAAGGGCAGGCAGGGAGAACTGGTGTGCAGTCCTGTCTGCAGCAGGTGATTTGCTCTGAAAGCCTAACCAGCACCTCCAAAGAGCACTGCAGACTGCCTGCTTCCCTCCTGATGCACCGGCAGGGAAGCTGCCCATTATCTCACCCACAGATACCATCTTGGTTACCTTGCTCCCAAGGCTCTGCTCGGTTTCCCCAGGAGCCACTGCAGCTGCTGCAAGAGTCCCAGCGCCTCCTCCAAAGTCATATCAAAATGACAAAACATCACAATGCATTCAGCTCCAGTGGATTCAAACAGAGAGAACTTTTAAGTTTCCACTGTAATTAACCCTATCCTCGTTAAGATAATTATGATCAAGCTTCCTGTCACAGCTAATATCCCAGCATCACTGCCCGTGGCTCCTACTCTGCCCTCATTAGCTTATAAAAACAGCAGCAGTAAACGCGCTCCCACTGCCCTTTCCAAGCCAGGCCAATGGCTGTGAGCCCTTACGGAGGGGCCTGGGACAGGGCAGCAGGCCCCACAAAGGGGCTGCCCCTTGTACCCCAGTGCCTTCTGTTCCCTGGGTGGGCTTAACACTCAGCGGCCTCCATCCTGCCCCCAAATGTTAGCCACTCGTCAGAATGGGGAAGGAGAAGGGCTGGACCAGAGCAGGGCTCAGAGGATTGGGGCAGAGGAGTTACTAAGCTGTAGCTACTGCTTCCTGCCCCTTACCCAGCAATTTCTACCCAGAAAAATCACTAGGGGACACCTCCAGAACCCTTGGCTCAAGCAGTGCCAGTCTTACTCCTAGAGTATAGGCTGTGGTAAGAACTGCACACCCATTCCCTCAGCTCCCAGCTTATACCAGAGATGACTGTTTTCACTGCCATGATCCGGGCAGGGAATGAGAGACAGTTAACCACAGACAGTAAGAATGAAATGTGTCCCTCTGCTTAACCATAGCTGGCCTCAGATCCAGAACCAAAGATCAGGATGTTCACAAATCAATTAAGAAAATCAGATCTCCACTACGGTCTTTATCTATTCCCTCTACTAGATCTACCTAGATATCATACATATATTTTTACCTGGGAAAATGGGGAATCATGGAACTTCTAGAGGACCTAACCCATATGTCTGATGTCTACCACATGGAACAGTCCAGCAGACCTGCCAGGGTCAGCTATTGCCTGCTCTGTAGTGGTCTTTCTAGATAATTTCTGTCTGCCCAGCCCCCAACAGGTGTAACCTCCATCATATCTGGGAAGTTGTCAAATGTGCAGTAAGGGCTCCATACCCCTTTGCCAACTGACTGCTGCCCAGTAGGGAGCCTACAAGTTGCTGAGAGGAAAGCGCCAATAGAATCCTAAGGGTGGGACAAAAAGCAGGCCTTCAGGTGACTGGCCAGGAGCTAGAAGGGCAATCCCTAAATTCACATTCTTTCAGAGGCCACAATGTCTCCCTCTCTTTATCCAGGGACCAAGTGGCAGAGCAGGCAGAAGTGACATTTAGCAAGTCTGCACCTCCGTACACCAGCACTGGCCTTAACCTGTTTAAATATTTCCTAACCAGTTGGTAGATGCAGCTCTGAAGACCCTAAGTGCCTCTCCCTGGTACCTTGGCCACTCTCTGGAGCCCCTAGACCTTTCCACAATGCAGCAACTAAGTGGTTAATATCAACCACAGTGCAGGACCTCCAAGAACCTTGCACCAGCCAGGATCTTTCTGAATGTTAAATTTAAATACCATCCTTAAAAGAAGAAATAGGAACTTGTACTTCTCTTAATGCCCCTACCATGTCAAGTGC